GTGTTATCATTTCACAAAGAAATCTGATATAATAGCAAAAGGACCCTGACTAATGCTCTTTCTTTTTCTTTCCTTTTTTTTTTTGTCCAAAGAAAAAAGCTCGAGACATAATGGCGGCCTTTCAGGGAGAACTCATAACAGGAATTAGCCTATATTGTCTTTTTTATGATATTGAAACAAAAGATATCGAAAATCTTGAGTGTTTTTTTCTATCAAGCTGAAGGGATGTTCTTGGCAAAGAAGAAAAGATCGCGTGCCGCTGTGAAATTTTGTTGACTTTCAATCTACCACGTGGGTGTGAAATGGCTTCCACGGGTGCAAAATTTATTCTATAGAATTCTTGGACTTCACTCAAACAAGGAAAGATGGAATCAGGAAATATTGTACATCAAATTGAACTAATCATTAAAAAGATCAGATAGTACTAAAATGTTCCATTTTAAGTGATTGCATGATTTAAAGGTTTCTCTGGCATTTACTGGACAATACGGTCAGTCTCCAAATACTCCCGCGCGAGTTGCGCGTGGCTTGTCTGACGTGATATCCACGCGCGTTTCACGTAGAAGCTGAAAACTCATCTGAAAGATTTTTCTTACTTTTACAACCGTTGAACTGATTGTGTAATGGTTAGAGCAAACTTTTACGTCCGAGAGTCTAAAGGAGATTCTACCAGTAAGTTAAAGAATCATCAAGTAGTAACAAGGCATCTCGTTTTGATGGACTCGTTTTGGACTTTTTTTTCTCGTTTTTGATGATCTCGTTTTCTCATGATCTTTTCCTTTGAGTTAGTAGTCATGACCACGCCAGTTTTTCTGTAAACAGTGGGTGGACAAGATATGAAAGAAGTTTCCGTCCGTTTACAATGTAAACACACAGTCACTCGAAAAATTCAAGCATAGGTTTACACACACTGATAAAAGTCTTTACAAGAATAATTTGCTAACCAACGTGTTCACTTTGTGTTTATCAGACCGACCCCAACTCAGTATCAGGATCGCACCAAGTTTTTCAAAGGAATGGCTTTCTGCAGTAGAAAATTACACACTAACTTTCGGCCAAGCTGAATGTTTTCGACCAAGAGACAAACGGTAGCGGAGGAGAAATATCCGTTTTAAAAGCAAAGTCTACGTGATCTCGAAGTGACGACTTTACACAAGCTTTACCTTTTCACTATTTGCATTACTGCTGCAGATTTAATTCTTCATTGTTGTTGATCAAAACGACTTTTAGAGGATACTAGTGTCACTCCATTATGTAACAATGACGTCTCTAACCAACAGAACGAAATTAGGGTCGTTTTCTAGGGATTGCTCATCTAGATCTCCTTGTAAACCCTTTGAAAAACTGCACCGACTTCATTGTTTGATAATACTTTGTTGAATATTTTTACATTCACGTAATCCTGACTCGTTTAGTAAGAAATCTCGAGTTTTAACATTGCTATGTCTAACAAGACATTAGAATGTGGTCTGAATAACAGAAAGCTTTGAGTGTTCCTTTCCTCCTAAAGTAATGTAATTGTTGCTTCGGTTTTTTGCAACACATTCTAGTCGCTTTCTGTTGATTAGAAAATCCCGTGTTGCTAGTTTTCTCACCCATCGGGAGGCCATTTTTGACCTTTGGGTAAATGCTTACTGATCGATACTTCGTCAGCATGTACGGGTGGTCTTAGCTACAAACGGATACGAGAAAAAAAATTGATAATGTGCAAGAATCAAACTTTTCGGCACGTTAAAAGATCCACCACAAAAACCCACTCACATTAAACTCCATGAAGCAAAAGTAAAACAGAGCGGAAGAAATAAGCACATGGAGGTAGACAGATGTATTTGAACGGAATATTTGGAGAATAAATACAGTTGCCACTGCTGTATAATTGTGATAAGATCAAAAGTTTATTGAACAAACTCATTTAAGAAGTTACTCCTCTCTGATAATTATAATGATTACCGGTAAACATGTCCTTGGTTAAACAACTTTTCTAATTATTTTCACGGACATTAGAGCTCTTTAATTTAATTTTGTAGTCTTTGAATTCACATGGCTCCCTTTCAAAGATTGATACCTTTTGCGGTAACCCTGCTAGTGGAAATTTTGAGGAAAACGGAAAAATAACAGCGTCGTTGACAATTTGAAGCTAAACTCGTGAAGGAAACGCGGAAACTTTTGTGTTTGCAGATTCTTTTTATCTGTTGGATCAGTCTTAAGGTAGGACAAAATTCAGTATCGAATTTGTGTGAAAATTTGCGCCACACTGAGTTTTTGAGAACATGAAGTTTTTTCCAGAGCGAAGAATAAAAACAAATTCGCTGTTTCACGGTTGTGGGTAAACAAATTACTTTTACACTTTAAAGAAGGCCGCTCCAACTCTTCTGGATGGCGAAAAATCCAGTAGTAGTTCATTAGTATTAAAAAGCTTTGCCTGTAAAACTTGTCATGGAAACAGAAAGAAACAAGTTGTTGTAAGATAAATTATTCTGTGCTCGCGTTTCTGTCTTAATGATAAGTGCGAACGAATGTATCACGTAGTATAATCAGGAACTCCTAGACTAAAAGAAAAGGAAAATCTGTGAAGCCTGCTGTGAGGCGAAACAATCTACCGACACGTTTGAGCGATTCAGACCCGTTCCTGAAGAAGAACAATACTTTACTTATCAAGATTAGTTTAATTTGTTGGCTGCAACCAAAAACTGCTTGAAACCGTAGTTGTATTAAAGAGCCACCAGGCCATAGAGATTTTTAGCTTTTCATTTCAAGTTAGAAATTGTGATTAAAAAACAAGCTTTATTCGTCTGCCGTTCAGCCTTGAAGGGAATTAATGCCACAACCAGTAAATAAAAAAATATATTCATTTCTAAACCATTAAAGGTATATTTTTTCAACATTTCAGTTTGAATTAAAGAAAAATATTACAAGCCCCCTAGTTCGTACTCTCCGTTTCGCTGACTGATTCAATTAAACGTTTAGTTGATTAGAAAAATTCCTGTCGATGTATTTCAACAGACATCTTCTCAGTAATGGTTTAGGATGTTTTCCTCTCGCCCTTTCAATTTCTCTCTTAATTTTTTATTTCTTTTGGTCAAACTATGTACAGAATGTTTTACTTCACATTATTCCAATTCTTTATCGAATCAAGAGTTAAACAAAAACCCAACTCTCACATAATCGAATGCAAAGGTGCTGTGAGGCTTAGAGGTGAGGCGGCTAGCTTGTGCCGATTTCGTTTTTCCCTCGCCCAGTTACATTTTTCTTCGTCATTGGTGAATAAAAGAATCTTCTTCATAGAATAGCTGATAATGCCACGAACCTTCAAGAACATGAAAAAAAAAAAAAAAACTCAACAAAAATTCTGTAGATACGCCAGTTGCGAACAAAGAATGACAGTGATATTGCTTGAAATAAAATTTGAAAAATGGAAAATTGAATTCAGACAATATTTCGTAATCTCTAAGAAGCTTACATCTTAAATAACTCTTCCACAAATACATTAAAAACGATATAGTATATACAAACCGGTAAAGTTCTATTTGACCTCGTGAAAGATAACTAAACAAACCTGAGCAACAAAAACGGCCGAAGTTAGGGAAATAAAGCTGGTCTGGATTTTTTTCAGTTGCCTTTATTTTCATTAGAGGCTATCGTTTAGAAAACTCTTGCTGATCGCTGTTGGCTCATGAATCTGTTATAATATTATTACAAACCCCCAGATAATACACAATTTATTCGTTGTTTTTACAAGGATTTTAGGCCGATAAGCGGATTGTTCAAGTTTTAACTTTTTCCATTAGTTGCTATATTTTTTTTAAAGAATTAATGAGGTTAATTTGACATACCACAATGTTTAAATGTTCTCTTTTGTCTGCCCTCAATTTTTGGTTTACATTTTTGATAAAATACCTTGAAAACAGGTGTCGTGGATAAACAAAGGCCCTTGAAGACACAGCCGACAATCTCATTTAACGCATCTGATTCAAGGCTTCGTCCCGGCTGTGAAATCTTTTGTTTTCAGCGACTGTGGCCCCGAGGACCTGCGTTTGTCATAGAGAGAAGACCAAGCCAGTAAAAGCGACCTGCGGCTAAAATAACAACATCTATAAAAAGTTTACTGTCTTTATAAACCGACCTAAACCGCTTTGCTAAATGCTGTCTTTTCGCCAATAGCTAGGTGAATTAAAAATGTTTATGAAACGACTTTGTCAAGAAAGGTCGCATATCGAGTAGCATAGGAAAAAATTCGTAAGGGTCGAAAAAAAAATTTTTTTCTTAAAACCACCAAGTTATTAACCTGTGTTTGAGAAATACGATAGATAAACAGTAAAACGACAATTTCAGTCGTTAATTTAGTCCCTGAAATAACAATTCTGCGAACCGGAAGTGTCAGAGGTAAACATCAAATGATCCCTCCGTGTATGTATAATGAATGAAATGTGTTTCCCTGGACCTTGTGTTTGTAAAGCAAAAATCTGTTGAAGTTTTTCTATTCTTGTGTCAGAATAAAATAGGCGAGTCGTCGGCGTATTTACTGAAATTTACTTCCCTTCAACAACATTTCTTGACAACGGGGAGAGTTATTTGTTTATATTTCATCGTATCAATATTTACAGCACGCACGAAAGGTTCGCAAATAGGAAAGGAAAATGTTTATTCTGTAGCTAAATCGCGCAATACAGACAAATAGGTTTGAAAGGATTGCTAGATATTATTAATAGAAAAGCTGTAACCCACTGTGGTCGCTTGGGGTAAAAGGTCTTGAGGCACGCCTCGAATAGTTTTTCAGTAAATTTGAAAAAAAGAATTTACCGCAAACCTTCACGAGCCAATAACTATAACTTTTGCCAAATTCATGCTTCGCGAGCTTGTCCATGATTAGAACAGTGCACGCTACCATGATCGATGTACAAAATTTCTAGGTCATCCGTAATTTTTTAGCTTTCTTGTATGTTATTTAAGTACTCAAGAGCGGAGAATACCCATCAAACAAAAAGATAAATCGATTTCTTAGATTTTATCACTTTATTACTATTTTGAACTGATGTAATATTTCTGATCAAAACATATTTTCAACTTAGTTTCATCCACAATTGATGTGTTCTACAAATTCCGCTACAAGGCGAAATCCATGGGAAGTTTACGTAAAAATCTTTCGAGACACCCACAAGTTTTCAATGTTGTGAGCAACAGATTCGTCCGATTATCAACAAAATGACACGAACGGTACCACTTCGTTTACATGCAATTAGCCACGTTTGGTAACTCAAATCCAACATTACGTGATCTTGTTAGCCTTGTGTTCGTGCGCTATCGCTTGGTGAAAACTGTTTAAAACCACAAATCGGGAAGAAATGTAAAACTGTCAAGCTCTTGTTCATGTCGGTTCACACATACTTAAACATCTTCGCAGTTCACCGTGTTAGTAGCCAAGAGCACGGCAGTTCAGGCAGTTACATTGACTACACAATCCGCTCGAACGAGGCGAACCAGGAACAGTCCAGATCGAACTGTAAACGTGGAGAGAATGAGGTTTTATCCCCGTGCTGTTACAGTTCAAAGCTGTGCAAGCGTTATAGAATCTCTTCGCAGGACTGCTACAGTCTGTAGAAATGCTGAATCTCGGAGCAGGAAAATTCTTGTCTACGCGTGACGACGATGAAATCTTAACCAAATCTGAAACCGTCTGCGCTCCAACTGTGTCCTCGTTTATCGAAGAAGCTTCGCTCATTATCTGTTCGCTCCTCTCCTTCACTTGCTTATTCCCTAAAATGTTTGCAATACTGAAAGGGTGATCTGACTCTGTTGCGCAAGGCTCCTGCTTCACTTGGTTTACGGGTTTACTCCTTTGTGCTTCCTTTTGGTCGTTCGTCGAAGAATCCTCCATACAGGTACTTGTTGTCGAACGTGAATGAGCAAAGTCTTGAGCTGTCGTCTTTTCTCGTCGCCCATCTTGGTTTAAGAGGTTTTTAGCGGCGTGTTCTTGCAAACCGTCGATTTCCTTTGAGCACGTCTCCAACTCAGTGGAAATTCCATTCTCTTCATCTCCTTCGTCATCTTCATCCTCTTTTCCGCGGTAGTTTCTCTGTCTTCTTCGCCTTCTTCGGAAATTTCCTTCCTCGAACATTTCCTCATAAGACGGATCCAGACTCCAGTAGCATCCCTTTCCAGGATCGGAGCGCTCACGAGGTATTTTCACGAAGCATTTGTTCAACGACAAGTTGTGTCGAATGCTGTTCTGCCAGCCTCGCTTGTTAAGGCGATAATACGGAAAGTTCTCCGTGATAAACTGATAAATTCCACTCAGTGTAATTTTTTCGTTTGGCGCTTGTTTGATGGCCATGGAGATGAGAGCCACGTAGGAGTAAGGAGGTTTTGGGAGTGGTTCTTGTTCACGGAAGAATATTCCTCCGCCATGGCAGTTAACAGCGAAGCCGGCTCGACTCCATTGAGGATAAAATGCTGAAGGATAGCTCGGTAAAGCTGGGTGAAATGATGGCTGACACAAATACGGCGAAGAGTAACAACTGCGGTGCGACGGAAACATCTCGTTTGAGTTCACTTTGCGATCTCTCAAAACGGAATAGCAACCCTAGAGATCTTGGGCAATCAGGACCGCTTGCAACATTGGAGGCACTGGGAAAAAGTCGCACGGGGCCGTGACTTTTATTTATGGACCACCGGCACTGTTTGTTTATAAGATAGGTATAGCTTTTGTGTCAAATTATTTATTTACAAACAATCCATAACCGCATTTAGACCACACATTGGCCGATTAGAGCGGAAACAGGTTGCTTGGCAGAAAAATCATCTCACGCACTAATGACTCATCAGACAACATTTCACAGCGTCGCAAGACACATGCATCGCTTTTAAAAATATTTACTTAGAAAATTGAGAACAACGCCTTTCTAACTTTACTACACTACAGTTTGATTGTTAACGCGACGTTTTGAAATGGAGCGAACTCCAACAAAAGCGTCTTTCGATTACTGTCAGGCAATTAATATTGTTCGTGAGTTGGGGACAAACTGACCCAGTATTTCCGGGGCATCTCAGCGTTTAATGTAGTTTGGAAAAGCAGTTTAGGTTTGTTTGAAGTTAAGAAAGCTTTCAGGGGTTAACTAAGGACAGTTTCATGGGAAGCTGATTGTTTTTGCGCCAGTTCACGAGACTTTGGGACGCCAGGTCTTTTCTTTCATTTGTTAATAAGCATGATTTAGAGTAACAAAAAAAAAAAGGGATTTTCTGCGATTGACTCTGTCTGTCTAAAAAAGCAGCTTGAAGGTGAATCTGTTTTTGTTTTTTACAACTCAAAGAACAGCTCTATCAATTCAGTACAGTACTTCTTCAAGGCATGAAAGAATAACTTTCCTATTGGTTTTGTTTCAAACGGATGACACTGGTTAACATTCGCACCACAAAAGAAGAACAACGACAAAAACAAGATTTCGATTTTATCGATTTGTTTTGGTTTGTCGGTTACATTTCTCGTCCTGTCGTTGCTGGGCAAAAAAGAGGACCGTACGATGGACGTTAATGTATTTTCTCAACGGGAATCAGACTTTACAATTTGCAATAAAAGTTAAAAGTTTAGAGAGAGGCCGCATCAGGGAAATAGCTTTATGACAAGGTTTAGGAGTAGAGAGGCGAGAAGGGCCAAAGATTTCTAAGATAAGGAAGTGGCTGGGTAAACTCAAGATTTACGACCGAAATTAAGATTCTGATAAAAAATGTTTCTGCTCAGAATTCGAGCCGAGATGAAATCTTTGCCGCTGCTATTTTCAGATGAATAATTTTGAATGAAGAGAAAAAATGAAAATAACAATACCCAACGCAACAGAGAGTTGGAGTTACATCTCAGCTGGACTGAAGCTTGGTCGGTCGCCTATTCTTCTCGTTCCTAAAACAAAATTAGCGCGCTTTTCACAAGCCGGAGGGAAAATTATCGCTATTAGATGATGATTTCTTTGTTTATGGGGCAATGTACGGCAAACAATGACATTTTTAAGCCGAATAGCTAGAGGGTATTTAAAATGAAGTCAGGTGTAACGCGTGGTGTAGCGGACGATTAGCAATATTAATTCTTTCAAACCGGCAGTCTCAATCCCACAGGGATCAATGAACGCTTTTCATTCCACTAATTTATTCATGTTTTTCTCGTTGCCATGCACCCACCAATAACGTAGCTCCATTTACTGCCTTTAAAATCACACACAACCCACATTTCCTCTATTCGCTCCGACGAAGGGCTAACGCTCGAAACGTCAGCTTTTGTAATCATTACGGTGGCCAATTTACCATTTCAACTTTGTTGATATATCCAAATTATTAAGCAACACAAGTTGAGAACACTCTCGGAGATCAACGTCCATTACTCTTATTTTTTGTCTTTTTCCTTGGGGAGTTTTTCCCTCCCGTTGAGCTTAGAAATGAACCACATTTAAGAGCGCTAAAAATAGATGATTTATCGGAAAAGCGATAAAAGAATTTGACAAAATTGACTTAAGGCTTTTGATACAATTATCTTTCTTAAGATGTTCTCATGTCCGTTCTATTCCGTCTCCAAGCAACATGTCAGTTAAATTTCACAACTAAAAGTTTGAAGAAATCACGATGGCTTTAAAGTGAACAATGCGAGAACTGTAACTGTACAAAGAAGACAATTAGTCTACAAAGAGTGGAAAAGACACGAGACTGAAATCGATATGATTCACCTGCTGGGATGAACTCAGCAGACAGAACTAAGGGAAATGACAAGAAATAAAATAGTAGGAGAACTTATAGAGTGCTTCTAGTATTAAATAATTATGCCTGAAGCTTTTTTTTTTTTCTAAAAAGGTTTCTTCTTCTTCAACATCAAGACTCGAAGCTTCGACTATCAATACGATGAACGATAATCGCACGAAAACACAAAAATATGGCTTCTATCTCTAAACAATGCCACGTCTGCAGTAAACAACTAAAACACTATCGTTTGATTTAAACCCTGCTTCTAAATTTCTACCACCTTTAAAGACTTTTCATTAGATAACCATGGCTTACAATATTATGGTCGATTTTATATCGTAGTGAAATATACTCGCAACCCAATCGAGAGTAACACGCCGATTAAGACGAACTAACACGTCTCTAACCGAGAAACATTTCATCATTTTAAGTTCATAACTTCAATACTGTTACATATTTTCGGAATGTCTTTCCGTTAAGCCTTTGATTATACATTTTATTTGTCTCAAGCTTTTTTTGGTAAGATTACCAGAAGAATAAGCAAACTGTCAAGGACGTTACTCCAGAAAGCGAAAGTTGAACTGAAAAGCTATCAGCAATTTTGTATCTGATATCTGTCTGAGAAACACTAAAACAAAGCAAAGTTCAGTTCAGTTCTGTTGGTGTTTTTCGACTCGACGTTTGGCGAATGAAAGATTTCCAGTCTCCTGACGTTTTTTTGTTATAAAGACAGATTTGAATGCAAGGAGTCTACAAACTCCCACATAACCACGCGCGTCGGCAGATGCACTGCCACGCGCTCACCCATCCGCGTGAAGGCACACGCGCAGTCACTTATGTAATTTTAGTCATTGTTAGTAGAAAGAACCATACAACTGGTAGCTTAAGTTTAACGCTTTATCATGCGTTACAAAAATATTTCCATTTTCAATAATATTTTCACTTGGGGAAAAAAATCATCGCACACAATCATTCGTCAAGGTTTACACCGTAGCTGTAAAAACTCACAGAGCTGAAAATAAACTTTCAACCAATATACAAATATAGATATTCACCATGTTGCTGCCTTAACTTTATCTGACAAGACAAACTACGCAATGTCCAGAACTGTGCTAGCATCATTTTCAATGCAGCTGTCGGCTCACATCCGCTAAGTACGACGTGGGCAAATTAAACCTCTGTTATGCGCTAACTAATCGTAAATAAACTCCTAACACAATGCTATGTTTACGTGCACATCATGTGCGTTTCTTCGCATGCTATCAAAGGACAAGGTTTTTCGCACGTGATGTGTTTCCTTTATCCAACAGAACTCTAGCCAATAACAGCGATCACATGTTCTGCTAAGGAGGGCCCAAGTCCTGTCTGCTTTCTGAGATTAGAACGGACAGCAGGCGTAGTAAGCTAAAACTGTTCCATCAGGGTTTAATCGTGTTTTCCCTGGTCGACAAAATAAAACGAAGAACATTTTTTTTGAAGATTCACTACAGCGATTATCAACAAGCCAGAAAATGCACAGTAGTAGTCGCAGAGTGAAATAGGTAAAAAGAAACTTACCATAGTTAGACTTGCCTTTATTCACCACTGTGTCTGGTCACCTCGGTGAAGGGTTCGGAGAATTCTGCAAAAAAATGCCTTTCTAGTCACACAAGAGGGTCGTTCCTCAAAGCTTGAATAAAGGGTCCTATCTGTAGACTTATCTATCGTTCTCAAGTGAAATGCCGAGGTGGCAAAAGGTAAATCATTCGACCCAAAGGAACTTTTCAATTAACAAGGTGTTATCAATTTAAAAAATTTGATTTTCCCCTAATTGAAGAGAAAAATTTAAGAACCGATGACACGCAAACTTGACTACATATCTAACCGTGTTACAAAAACGAACACAGCAATGTGGAAACAAGCTTTGCTCAGGGACGATGTTCCTTTACAATTGATTGGTTAAAATAGAGCAGAGGTTTATCTCCACTTAAGACTGATTGGTCTAAAGATCTCGCGCCATCCTCCCTGCCAATCATATGCCCCTTTTGGGTTCTTGTTGGCTTCCCTGCAAAATTAATCTTTATCTGATTGATAAAGGTCCTCTTGGTGAAACCTAATCCCAAGACGTTCAATACCACATCCAAGCTGAACACTGTTTTAAAATCATGCTGTATCAGCGTCAGTGTTGGAACTACATATTCAGGAGGTCTTATTCACCTCAGGTGTAAAAAAAAAAAAAAAAAAACTGGTTGATTTTAAATGCGGATAACGAAAGAATTAAATTGTTAAAGGAAAGTTTAGAGGCCACCAAACGTGATTTTAAAAACATGCAAAAGGATTTAATTGATTAATTGTCATCAAAAAGAAGAGACGCTAGACAAGCAGACCAACTAAAGTAACCGAACGGTTATAGGTATGGACAGGGGCAAAAACAGTTTCTTTGCTCCAGTCCTGTTCATGGTCACGTCAGTTTATCACGTTGCAAGACTATACGAGGGTAAAAAAAAACAAAACATTTTAAACCTAGTACCTTAAGCTCCATAACCTGAAAAGGCAAGTGAATTGTTGTGCCTCTGTGCTCTATAACCAGATACCCTCTTTTTTCTGACGCCCGAACCACCTTTACAACTTGTCCTTTCTTCAGAAGAACTTCGCTGCCGTCATCTAAAAGAGGCAGAAGAATGAAAATTTGTAGCGCTGGCAGCTAGCTCCTAGCGCTCGCCTCGCGCTAACACAACGCTCTCCTCCTACTCGCTTAACTCTCGCCTTGGGCTTTCCTCGCACTCGCCTCACGCTCGCTCCGAGCTCGCCTCGCGCTTGCCCAACGTTCGCCCCACGCTCTTCTCCCGCCCGCCTCACATTGGCTTTTCGTTCCCCTTAATCTTCCCGAAAATGTAAAAAAATTAGCTCCTGTTACACAAGCTAAGCTCCGGTAGGATAGGACATTTGGCTCAGGAGTATACTTGTCCCAATTTTTTTTTTCTATTTTGGCAAAACAAAGAAGCAAGCAAGAGTTCACTTACCTGGATAATCCATTTTCATGATACGATTTTGTGGGAACCCCATCTTCATATTTCCTAACACAGTGTACGGACGGCTTTTAGGCAAAGGTGGGGGAGTCTCCTAAAAAGGTGGAAGCAAAAAACGTTAAATTCTATACTAGTTTTCCGTTTTGGTTGGGAGGGTGGCGCAGTTTTTTTGTTTTACATCAATCACAAAGTGTTGTAAAGCAAAAACAACTATTTATCTCGAGTTGGGAAGAAATTTTTCACACAAAACAGCCGTAATCCAAAATTACTCTTTGTATTTCAACTCTTTCGGCTTACCATATCGATTCCGAAGAGACAGCACGACTGGTCGGCAGCCTTCGTGTCAACCCGAAGCTCATCCGACAGAGAAACTGATCTGCGAACAAGACTGTAAAAAGATACCGAGTTTCGACAAGGAAGCTTTGTTAGCAAGAGGCAAGCTACAGTCTTGGACCACATCACGAAAGACTTTCAAAGTACTTCTTGAACGTGAGACAAACAGAGAATCTATGCTATGCGTGGTGGTTAATTCACTAGCAACCGGAGCCCTTCTCAACCTCCCTTCAAACACCTTCGGCTATCAGTTTACAATATTCACCTGTGATTACTTTTGCTACCCTGCCGGCCTTTTCGCTGAAGTTCCAATGAACGTTTTAGGTTCGGCCATCTCTTTCGACAGATCCATCTCCTTAGCCAGCACTGGATCGTCACAGCGGCCTTCACTTTTCTTTCTTCATACAAGTTCGCTAATTCTTGCTTCACTACTTCACTACAAAAGTACACGACAAAAAAGTTACATATAAATAGCTTCTATACAAAGGCTAGCACTTGTTAAAAAAGTATTACGTCCTTCTATTTCGTTTCAACGCCTTCCCAAATTCTAAAGGGTTTTCCTCTTTAATTCACAGTGAAATTCGAAGCGCCGTATTACAAAAATTCGAAGGGAAGATTCACCAATTGAAAAAATTGAAAATAAAAGAAAAATATTAAATAATAATTGCAAGTTACCTATAGAAAACGTATCTCTTTCCCAGTACCCACGAGCCAAACATGACGTCACTCTTTGACTTATCAGCTTTTCTCATCAGCGTCTCCAGAATAGTTTTGCAATCCTCATACCCAGTCTCCTCCAAACCCCGGACCTTACGCAGCGAGACAAAGGCATACCTCCTAGCGAATGCTTGAAGTCGAATGCGATTAGCGAGGGCTGAAATAAGATAATCGTGCATTAAAAAGTTAGCGATAAATTCTAATTTTGTATGGGTAACTCTTTGATAAAATTAGACGTGGTGTACTGATGAGGGACACGCAAGGATTTTTCCGTAAGCTTTGCATTATATGATCGGTATTCAGTGATTTTTGTCGCTGATTGTATCACGGTTTGTCTCAAGGCCTACAAGAACAGGGGGCTCTTTTCTAATACCTCACTGGTGATTCCCCTTACAGTCGGCTGTACGATTCTTATAATGGTACTTCGAAGAATTTGGTATTGGATCAACTAATGATACCTTAATTGATATATTTCACTTGTCTGCTTGATACTGTATTTGTATTGTAAGGAGAGATTTTGTCTTAGTTACCCTAATGAGTTAAAGGGTCAACTACCTGACTGAAGCAATTGAAGAGTCTCGAATATCTGCAACACTCGAATCTGTTGACTGACAATTCCACGGTCGAAGGAATATGGCTCCTCGCGAGTATTTATCTGTAATCAAAGTGAAACACGAAGCAAAAGGTCAACGGCAAAGAATAAAAATTGCTGAAACTAACAGGGAGGGAGAGTACTATCGATGCTTTTGCCTACAAAGTGACAACAGATGTGTCTGCGGAAAAATGTAAAAATTAAGACACCGTCCCTCCCATCTGGTAGAGCACAACATTGTGTCCACTACTGATGACTTTTCATATTTTTTGTTTAAGAGATAAACAATTCATGCGTCACCAGAAGAGCACAAGATTTTAAGTGGAACAATTTTCAAATGAGTATCGAAAGTAATCTGAGATTGCATTGGTTTTGTTTTACTTCTCTGTGATTCGTCTAGAAAACTCGTGTCACTCTCTCAACCAATCACGACGCGTTTTCCCGCGCATTAAGCAGTTTGGTTGTTTTCAATTTGAGTTTTTACAAGTGACTTCTAAAGTACTGAGCAGCTGTTGCGATTATGTTTTTTTTGATTTTACGACATTCAATGGAAAAACCAATCTAACAACAAATTTTGGTGGTTACAAACAAGCCTGCAATCAAACATAACTCGCCTTTATACATCTTACAAATGTCGGTTGCGCTTGCACCAGAGTTTTAAGAAGACCATCAAGTTTTTCCTGGAGGAAAAACACAGGAACAAAACATTACACAAGAAGTCACCGTAGAGTTGTCGATGGAGTTCGTTGATTCTAAACTGTGGGTTTCTTTAGCTATATGGAAGAAGACAATTTAGAAAATGAATGTCGAGAAAAAGAATCTCATAACAGTCATGGGGAAACTTTATCCTCTTGCTTAGGAAATCAAAACACAACTCAATCATAAAGTCTTCTAATATCTCAGAAAACTAACCTGAAATCCTTGCGAAAATGTACGAAGAGGAGCATCAGCTGTTCCTGCGGGGCTGTTATTTAAGTAAAATTTGGATATATCAACAAAGTTGAAGTGGTAAATTGGCCACCGTAACGATTCCAAAAGCAGACGTTTCGAGCGTTAGCCCTTCGTCGGAGCGAATATTCGCTCCGACGAAGGGCTAACGCTCGAAACGTCTGCTTTTGGAATCGTTACGGTGGCCAATTTACCACTTCAACTTTGTTGATATATCCAAATTTTACTTAAATAACAGCCCCGCAGGAACAGCTGATGCTCCTCTTCGTACATTTTCGCAAGGATTTCAGGTTAGTTTTCTGAGATATTAGAAGACTTTATGATTGAGGTGTGTTTTGATTTCCTAAGCAAGAGGATAAAGTTTCCCCATGACTGTTATGAGATTCTTTTTCTCGACATTCATTTTCTAAATTGTCTTCTTCCATATAGCTAAAGAAACCCACAGTTTAGAATCAACGAACTCCATCGACA